GCTGCAGACGTTTGAAACATTCTGTTTGCCAGGCTTATTCACACATTTCCATTGTTGTGTAGGCATTCCATACTTAAGCATCATGCACCTCAAATTTTTAATTTTTCAAGCGTTTGGCTAGTTTTCCTACGATTTCAAAACCATATATGTCGAAAAAGTGTAAAAATTCGATTAAGAAACGCATTATTTGCCTAATTGCAAACGAACATGGTTACTTGCAAGTAACCCTCAGAAGAGGGAGCCATCCGCAGCTTTCCCAGACGATAGTTGTACTTGGCATTTGCTACTACTCGGGCCATTTCTCGAATACCTTCACCTTTTACGGAGAGCGAATACGGGGGAGATCTGACTTTAGACTTTTTAAAAAACGTGTTTCACTTCTGAATAAGTTTTTTTTTTTGCATTTGGGCTTTTAAAATCTTTTGACTTTGCCTTGGAAACTTGTATGGTTTTTTACAAAACAAACCGGTTTTCATGCATTTGCATGAGATAGGAAAAATAAAAAAGGAACACTATTCAGAACAGGCTCTACATAAGGGCTAAGCAGTACAGCGTTATGCTTTAGCCCCTCATTGTACCACCTAATATATCGCTTTGTCTTCTGAAGTAATTTGAAATTCGTTATACGTTTAATAGAGGCACGGGGGCTCTTTTTTTTCTTTCAGCGTTATGCTGCAGCAGCAGTGCCATCCACAATCTCATCCGCAGTATCTGCACCGCCTTCCGCTCTCAAGCCGATGGATGAAACGATCGTAGCTCCGATTACTAACGGTTAGAAAACACTGCCTTTAGTGCTCCTGTCATAAATCGGAGAAGCATTATGGCGAGCTCAAGGCGCTATCCTTTACAGTTTGATGTGGGATCGTGTTTGAGACCTTTATGCGTTATAGGTTATGAAAACAAAACTGTCACAGGTCAGCGCTGTAATTTGAGGACGAAAAGAACAGCAAAACTGGAAGTTTATGGTGTGATTTATCAAATGTTAGATGTCAGTCCCGGTATTCCAGCAAATATTTGTTCAGACAAACCAAAATAAGCATCTTTTAACACAGTGCAGGGCTCTCCTAGTACTCCTTATACACAGAACCAAAAACAAAGCAGAATTTTGAACGGCCGTCGATAACAGTGCGACACTGCTGCACTACTTCCGATCCAATGAAACACTTGCGCCCCAGCCTTTTGTTTTGCATCATATAAGCTGATCATCTGGCAAATGCTTGCCGGCTCCATTCCTCGCACCGTTCCGACTACAGCAGGGAATAATAATCTCAACCCATAGGGGATATAATGTTCTTGGTCACGATCTTGCGTCAACGTGAGATTTTGGGCCTATGTTCCCTGTCCACGTGCAGTTTAAAAATGTCAAATTCAGGTTTCCAAGCACGTGAAGTACCCAAATACGGGTGTGTGAGGGTTTTGGCGGAAAAACTGCTAACACCGATAACCAGAAAAGCTGGAGGGCTGAAATTTTGAGCCAATGTTCCCTGTCCAAGTACAACTTAAGTACTTCAAATCCGGCGCTGAGTTATGCGTGGTTCTTACGTACGAGCGCTTAAAAGTCTTGACGCGAAAACTTCTCACTGAACAACTAAGTTACTTTTAAAGAACGACTGTTAAGTGGAAATTATACATTTACTTTGCAAAATTTATGATAATTTATGCTGATGACCGCAAAAGGCAAGTGTAAAGCAACAGCCATTCATACAGTCCTAAGTAATTCAAGTCCGGTGCAAAAACGCATGATCGCACGGACCTGCCCGGTGCGTTCCAGCCTGGGTTTTTTCTTGTTTCCATGCCATACTCTAAAGGGCATGTGCAGCCTTGCTGTTGGACAAGCCAGGAAGTTGAAATTTTGGCGTGGGGCGTGAAAATGAAGTCAACTTTCACGCCTTTTCTACATTTTGCTCACACCTGCTGTATTGGAATGTAACACACTTCAGCCTTTGTATCAGCGGAAAAGCATGCCCGCTTGTGCTTTTCTTTTGTTGTGCATTGTTACTTATATATCAGTGGCAGTCTTTGGCTGTACACTGCATTTAGCGTGATTAGACACTCGCATAATTTATAAGACGTTATTTGCAGGGTTAGCGAATGTATTGAATTCACATAGCCGACCGGAATCTGTGCCGCTACCGACGGACGAGTTGCAAGGTGCCGGTGATGCTGCCGAGGATACGTCAAAGATGCCCTCACTTAGTAATTCCGTTCCGCTCAAAACGGCGACGTTGAACGGTGTGAAGCAGAGCAACTGCGATTCGGCCAGTCATCCCTGTGAAGGTTTGGCTCTCCCTCTTTCTGGGCATTTATCATAAACGTTGTTGAACGTGGATTGTTTCCAGACATTGTCGGGCTAAAGGATCATAATGCTTCGATCGAGAAGATAGAAGCCATGTTCGATAATGAAATTTCCGTGGCTGAAGAAAACGTACGAAATTCGTTTAAGGTATATGCGCAAGCGCTGTTTTTCCTGTTTATGCTGCGGTGACGTCGCAGACGACGTGTACATGTAATGCAGGGAGTTGTCAGTGTGGTATGTATGTATATGGGCAATCGGAGAAAAACAGTGCGTGTGGAATGAACGGTTGAAAAGATGATACTGTTCTATTCTGCTCCGAGGCTCTCTTATAGTAAAAGATGGTGGGAATTTTGGTGGTCGTTGTGAGTGAGGCTTACAGCCTGGATGTACTGTTTATGTACACAAGCGCAGACGTTAAAAAGTGGCAAAAGATGAGCACGGTGGTAACGATCTGAAGCTACCGAAACGATGGGTTAAGGTCTGGTCGAAGGAGAATATGTAGTCGGGTCGAGAAGTCCGGATGCTGAACCGCGTGTGATGAGTGACCAAGTAAAAGAATACAGTTGGCGATAAAGGCCTCGAATGAGAAGAAGAATTATTTAAATTGAGAAAATAGGGTTTACCAGTTTTTGCTAATTTATCGACATTCGAATTTAATAGGAAAGTTTGTGAAAAAAGCTTTGACAAACATGCCGGCGTGCCGAGTCCACAGGTGTGTGCGCGCTCTGCTGAGACCGTTTGTCATGAACTGATGCCTCACCACTACAGGTTGTGTTTCAGTGTGTACGGCAACTTTTGGCCGATCGCGAGAGCCATCTGCTGGCCGAGTTACGACGAACGCATGATGAAGGGGCACGATTCTTCAATGAGCGTCGAGTGTTATCTTGTGAGTTAGATGAGCGTGCCAAACGTATGAGCGCAATGAGTGATCGTGAACAGGCCGATTTACGAGAGGAAATTGCGAGATTTGTTGCGGAGAAGGAAGCGGAAGAAGAAATCGGCCGTGCCATTCGTTACCATTGTGACAACACTCAGCTTATTAAACTTGTTAAAAATTTCGGCGAAGGTGATTTTTTGGTGTGATTTTTTAGGTACTCATGGACTGAGTCCTCTTTCTTTTGCTGAACTGCCTCTGCAGCTCCCTGCATAGAGTCATTCTCATTCAGAGGTTTGAAAAATGAGGGAACAGGTACGTGGAAGTCATTTAAAAACTCTATAATAAACTGGCATTTCTTTTGTACCATCAAAAAGGGAAGCCCTACTTCAAAATACCTTTCTGTTACTGTTGGTGCACTTCTCCAAGTAAGTGAATGTAATGATTTCTGGGAAATTTGCAGTGATTGCTGTGAAAGGTATAGCAAGAGGTGCAGCTCCATTAATTCGCCA